GGCGAGAGCCCGAAAGCCCAGAACATGAAGCCCTTCGGATCTTTTCGCTTTTTCGCTGGTTCCTCCGAGCTTTGAAGGGGCTGTCCGTGAGCTGAAACATTCATGTGCCGAAGATGATTAAGTCTTCTTCAGGCCCAACCCCCCCCCCCCCGCTCCAGAAATCCGAACTCCAAGTAACTGAAGCCCTGCTGACGTTCCCACAGGCCATTCCGATTCTCTACGGCTCCCAAACAAGCTGCGAGGTTGGGACGGCTGCAGGGTTTCCGTCCAAGGGGATCAGTGGGGGGGTTGAGTGGTTGAGGAGTTGCAAGCATTGGCATCAGGCGATGAAGACCTTCTTCTACTACAACAAGAACAGTACACTTCTCGACGCCACGAAGCTCAAGCACCTCGCCTGACATCAGGTGCTTTTTGCGGACAGTCGCACCGCACCTGTTTCTTACCCCCTCGGCGACGATACGCACCAGCGGGCCGAGACATTTCAAGCAGTCAAAGTGCAGCAAATGATCGTACAAACAAGATGCAATGTAAGGTTTCACGCAGGATCAAGCAAAACAGGTGGGTGTACAGAACACAGCAAAGCCAGCAAAGCTCACAGCCGTCCACGCCCCTGAACCGCTACAAAACCCTATGCCCTAAACCTCCTAAAATTCCTAAAACTTCCTAACTTCCTAAGAATTCCATAGCCCTGAGGCGCGTCAATGGTGGGGCTCTGGAAGAGTGCCGCCGCGCGATGGTCTGGTCCATGAAGCCCCGCAGCCTTCGGTGGGGGATTCGGGCCTTTCTTGTTTGGGATGCTTGGGGTTTCGGGTTTAGGGTTTAGGGTTTGGGATTTCGGGTTTAGGGTTTAGGGGTTCATAGGGCTTCATGGGGGTTTAAGGATGCAAGGGTTTGAGGGTTTTCAGGGTTTAAGGTTTAAGGGTTCCAGGGTTTAGGGGGTCTAGGGGCTATCTAGGCGTTCCAGACCGGAAGAAGGCTCAGGATTTTCAAACCCCAAACCCTAAGCCCTGCACAACATCTCACAATAAACCGCAGAACAAGAAGGTGGCATGTTGCAGCCTGCCTTAAGACCGTTTCAAGAATCGGCAGTAGATGTAGGTTCGCGGCTGCAAGCTGTAGCCACAACGAAGTTACATCTGTTTCCACTTAAGGGTCAGAATCTCATTGTACCTACGACTTCCGAATGGGAATTTCACTAAATTTGGGTCGTCTCAAGCCTCATCTTTCATGATTCGAAGCAATATCGGGCTTCAAACCCTAAAACCTTGGAGGGACCAAGCAACCCAACCCAAACTGAGATCGCCGTGGGGGGCCCGAGGCTTGGCACCACGCTTTGCATCTACTGCGGCGACATCTTGCCGGACTTCCAGGAGAAGATCTGTATCTCCAAGCATCCTACCTCTGAAAGGTTTAGGGTTTAGGGTCTGTCGCGGAAGGATCTCAGATGCAAAACGGCTTCGCATCACACTGAGACCATGACCTCAGCTTTTTGACAGGCGGGCAACCCTGAGCCCTAAACCCTAAACCCTAAAGCCTAAACCCTAAACCCTAAACCCTAAACCCTAAACATTCACAGCCCCCAAAGCATGCCACGAGGACAGGTGGTCAAGAACACGACCTTACCTAAGCAAGCACAGCTTTGACTCAAACCCCGTCCTCGTGTTTCCAAGCTTCCAAGTCTACCTCGGTTCATCAACCAGAAACATGGTGGAGGAGGATCTGGAATCTATAGGGGCTCGGGCCACGGGGTTTAGGAATCTCAGAGCAACCCAGGTTTACCGGGTTTCTTAAGGGTTTTCGGCTGAGGGTCGAGGTCGCGCCCTCGGGATCCCGTGTCTGGGGCATGAGATAGTTATTCAATGGCTTAAGGTAGCCAGTCAGAAAATGATTGCATTTGGTTTAGGATGGTGCAGGGTTTAGAGTTAAGAGAAATGAGCCGCGCTTTTCTGGAAGTCAGCAAGCCCAATTTCAAGAGGGGTTATGCAACAAGGAATTCAGCATGCAGGCTTCCTGGTTCGAGAGAGCGCCCCTAAACCCTACATAAACCCTAAACCCTCAACCTGTCCCGCGGAGCCCAGGTACAAGGACACCTTTCCCCTCTCGCTGTTCATGTACGGCGGCATGGAGACTTGGCAGCGTGCAAGTCTTCTTCTAGACGCTACGCAAAAGCTACAGCGCTTTGCTCATGCAACCTCAATGTGAACATTAACTGTGGGGATGTTCCCCCTTAGACTAACAGTCCTTAATAGGGGTTATAGCACCCGCTGTCACAATCCCTATGAAGGACTGCTAGTACAAGGGGGAACATCCCAAATTCGCTGTCTTTCATGCTCCTCTGGCTCATGCTTATCGATGCAGCCCGAGCCCGAGACTCCAGCCTACCAGGAGAACGAGCTGGTGCGAGAGCGGCTGTTCCGCGACGACGCGGCTTGTGCTCGAATAAGGAAGATGAGTCAGAGTTGAGACGGTCCCGTGCCTTGCCGACGCAACGCATCTAGGGTCAGACGTTAAGCCTGTTAACCCCCCCCCCCCCCCGCAAAAAGAAGAGGAAAAGTAGCCCTGCTGTCAGATTTGAAGCGCCTCCCCCCCCCCCCCCCCCAACGAAAAGGGAACCCTAAAGTCCTCAGGGTCAGGTTTTAAGCAAACCCTAAGCCCTAAACCCTAAACCCTAAGCCCGAAGCCCTAAACCCTAAACCCTAAACCCTAAACCCTAAACCCTAAACCCTAAACCCTAAACCCTAAACTCTGCTCAAGGAGAAGGAGGGGGGGCAGTGCCCCGTCCGACCTGGGCCCCTCGGCTCTTTGAAGTACGGGCTGGAGAGGGGTTTCCAAAACTGAGTCTTGTACATGTTGCCGTGGATTAGAATATGTCATAGAACATAGAGAAATAAAAAGTAAAATAAGTATAAGCAAGAATATGCATGTACATAAATAATGAAAATAAATGCAAAATGTGTGTGTGTATATATATATATATATTATATTATTTTATTTTTTTTTTTGGGGGGGGGGGGGTGCTTTTAGGAGAGTCTCCTGCAAGTGCAAGGGCAACCCGTTTGTCTACACAAGTGTCATCAAGGGCTGAGGGTTGGGGCTCACTCAGAACCTCTAAGGCCCACACGACCTGAGCCCCACTAGGCCGGGACCCTGCCAGACCTTGCAAGGTTCATGGTCTGCATCATGCTGATGTACGACACCATGGGCTTGGCGACTGGGCCACAGGGGCTTTGATGCCTTTCAAAGTGGTGGGGAAAAGCGGGAGAGCCCGTGGACCTGAAACCTCCTAGACTCTGGACTTGAGAAACCCTTTCGGGGCAGGGCGAGGCGGCTTAGGCTCTGTGAGCTCACCTACATCCATTGTGCCGTTCATGTCTGTGCCCAGTGCTTAGTAAGCCGATCCCGAGAAGGCTGAGTCCTGGCGCTAAGCCCATGGCATAGACGAGGTGAGGCGCAGGCTACCTTCCATGTCTGATGACGAAGTGTAACTACCGCAAGGGCGTTGTTCTGTTGCATGTTTTTCGACTTGCGCTGGTGTCAACAGCCCCGGGTTTCCAACCCTAAGCCCTAAAGACTGAGCGATTAAACCCTAAATCCTAAACCCTAAACCCTAAACCCTAAACCCTAAACCCTAACCCTAACCCCCCCCCCCCCAGAACAAAAAAGAACACCCCCCCAAAAGCGATGGTCCTTTGCACCTCGGTGAGGCCATGAGCAGCTTCCGTGCCGAAGAGATTCGATCGAGCCTCTGAAAGAATCGGACAGGGGTTAGGGTTTGGGGTTTGGGGTTTAGGGTTTGAGGTTTAGGGTGCTTGGTTCCATGCTGAGAGCCCCCTGAGTCCCCAACACTGCAAAAAAAACATCCCTGAGCTGCGAAGCTTGGCAACCTTAAACTTGGGCAACATAAAGCCCTAAACCCTAAACCCTATTTCCTAAACCCTAAACCCTAAACCCTAAACCCTAAACCCTAAACCCCCAAACCCTAAACCCTAAACCCAAAACCCAAAACCCTAAACCCTAAACCCCCCTGAAAATCGAAGATCTTGAAGACCAGCCTCTCAGTTCTTGCGCAGCTCGCCCTCTTGGCTGGCCTCCCAAGCAACCCTAAACCCAAAACCCTAAGCCCCAAGCCCCAAACCCTGACCCCTGAATCCTAACCCCTAAACCCTAAACCCTAAACCCTAAACACTAAACCCTAAACCCTAAACCCTAAACCCTAAACCCTAAACCTCAGGAAGATTCCCGAGTACGACCGGATGGCGCAAATCCGCATCTACAACGACGACGACCGGCTCAAGGCCTTGGAAGAACTGCGCACGGGCCGACGAGCTGAGTGAGGTCTGGTTAGGAAGTGCCTAAACCCTAAACCCTAAACCCTAAACCCTAAACCCTGTTTACCCCAAGAGCCCCCCCTATACCCCCTAAAGAAGGAACAGACCTAAAATCAGATGAAGGCTCCCTTAATACATTTTTGGGGTATCTTCCTTGGTTAAGGGGTGTAGTGGGCTCTCTGGGTAAGTCTCAGGAAGTCTCAGGTTAAGGGGGTTTGGTGTTGGGATGAGCTCGAGCGTGAGGAAGCTCGGTATAGGACACTTAACAACAGCCAGGTGCCAAAGCGAGTTTCACCGTAGGCCACGTCTCACCACCTGGGTGCGAAGATTCACCCGGTGCTTTGCGTGCGAGGAAAGGCTATGACTCTTCCGGCTGAGGACTTGAGGTGTTTTATTTAAGTTAGCGAAGCTTGCGGTGCGGAAGGAAGGAAGGCCATCCGACAGCAACGTTTGCAACAAGAGTTGCGCGATTCACCATGCCCACCCTCAGCTCAGCTACACAGCATGGTTGCACCACTGCCAGGTTGTTCTATTGTTCTATTTGTAGGGCGCCTTGCGTATTAGTCACCTTCTGAATGCCATAGAACCCTTTATAGACGAATCCCCCCTCTCCCCCGTCCCAGCACCTCAATTTGCCACAGCCATCAACCCATGAACTGAGCTGAAGATCAGGCGGAGAGAGGAGACGGCTTTGAGAACGAGAGGCGGCTCCCCTGGGGGTTCGAGGACAGTGGCGGGTGGATTTCGTTCATGATAGGGCTTTTTCAGGCTGAACCTGTTCAGCTTGCGACTTGAGTGGCTTGAAAGGCTTTTGGGAGGCGCCAAAAAGCTGGACTTTCCATAGTTGACGACTCGCCAGTCTGCCATCCGTTATTAAAGCAGAGTTTTGGGTTGAATGGGGATCGTCACTAGCTCGCCACGGTCCCCTCCCACCCCCCCTTGGAGCGCAAGCTTGCTAGAAAACTTAAGGCTCGCTTTCTGAACCATTGGAGGGTTTTTGCTCCTTGGCCTGAACTGTATAAGGTAACCCCCCTGCAAAATTCTCCGAAGCCACCTAAGCCACCCTGAGGCCAAAGCCTGGCAATCTCAGGCCACCCCAGAACCTAGACCGTCCCAAGTAGCCCTAAACCCTAAACCCTAAACCCTAAACCCCAATAGCTCTCTCAACTCAGCCCCTCTGGGCCCTTTAGAGGCAGCGGCAGGTGTACCAGTTCCTGCAGTCGAACTCGCTGCCTGGGCCTCAAATCTCTGTCCTGAAGGCCTCCCCTCCTCACCCACGAGGGTCTGAGGGTTTAGTTTAGGGTTTAGGGTTTAGGGTTTAGTTTAGGGTTTAGGGTTTAGGGTTTAGGGTTCAGGGTTTAGGGTTCAGGGTTCAGGGTTTGGGGTTTCTGGTTTAGGATTGGGTGGAGCTCGTGTGCGCGTGACCCCAGCTGTGCAGAGTCTGGGGGTTGAGGGTTTAGGGTTTAGGGTTCAGTGTTCCTTAAATGTAGGGTTTAGGGTTCAGGGTTCAGGGTTCTTTAGGGTTTAGGGTGCTTATGTACACTGGATTACATGATTTGAGTCTTCATGGGCTCCGGGCGGTCCCTTTACGCCTGCCCCAAAACCAAGAGGTCTCTGGGGGACTCAGGTGCTTTAAAAAGGGGGCTTGCTGTGGTGAGTGCTGGCGGATGTGCCTGGTGGGATCAACTTCCCAATCGCAGCGGGGGTCGACTTGGTTTGGGGGACAGGTCATCTGATTAGGGTTTTGGAGTTGCGAAAGCACTCTCACATTCTCGCACTCTCACACACTCACTCTCTCACACTCTCACGTAGGTGAACACAGGAGGCTTGAGAGAACAGAACCAAGACGAAGAAAAAGAGACCGCCAGCAAAGCCAGCAAAGCCTGCCCTAAGCCCTACGACCGAAGCGGAAGCCGCTGAAACATCGCCCCCCAAGGTTCTGTGCAGACCTCTTCGGCAAGGATGCGGCTCTAGAGCCGGGCCTTCGGAGTTGGGGCATGGGATGTGGCGGAAGGGAGTCAGAGGAGTCGAAAAGGGTTTAGGGTTTAGGGTTTAGGGTTTAGGGTTTGGGTTTAGGGTTTAGGGCCTGGGGTTTAGGACCCCAAGCCCGAAGCCCTTAAGTGTTTGAGCCTTGGGAGGCCCCAAGCCAGCTTGCAGGGCTCCTCATAGTCGAGCGCCCAAAACCGGGGTTGAGTATGAAGCCGCAGGCCCCAGGCCTCCGGGTTGACCCTGGAAGTCCCAAAGAGCCCGTTATTCCCCTTAGATAACGAGGGATGCCTGAGAAACATGTTTCGGATCCCTATAGAATTCAAGGTATACTCCTTAGCTAAGGGGTATTGGGTTGAGGTTTTCGGGTTGAGCAAGCTCAGCAACGTTGCGAACGATGAAGCTCCGCGACCGCAGATGCTTAAATGCTGCAAGGCCCTTGAAGGTATTGCTGGGGTACCGAGCTGAGTTCCTTACAGTAGCATTACTCTTAATATCATCAGTTAGAAATACTTTAGTACTCGTAGTAATAGAGATATAGACATATGAAGAAGACTTACAGAAACATTAATCTTAATATTGCCAGTAGTAATTTTAGTACAAGTGGTAGTAGAAGTATGCATTAAAAAATATGAAGAAGAGAAGTAGTAGTAATCATGGCGTCACCAAGGTTCCTAAGCTCCACGAGCTGGCCCACGCGGCTTTTGGACTTGGAGGCTCTCGCGAGATCTGTTGAGGGTTTAGGGGATTTGGGGTGTAGGGTTTGGGGTTTAGGGTTTAGGGTTTAGGGTACAGGGTTTGGGGTTTAGGGTTTATAAGGGTTAGGGGTGTAGGTGTTCTTTTAGGGGTCTGGGGGTTCAGGGCGGAAGTTTTTTCTTCAGGGTTCTGGGCAAAAGGCGCCAAAATCCTAAAAACCCTAAGCCCGAACCTCGAAAGAGAGTCTTCGTGGCTTCTGGGTTTTCCAGGGCTTCGGATATTGAACCGACGACTTTTTCGAACCAGGGGAAAACCCCCCTGGTAGTCCAGCGGTGCCCTTTGGCCCCCTTTTTTTGGGTTTCCAGGGCCCGCATCATAGTACGGTTGCTGGGCTAGCAAGCCCTAAACCCTAAACCCTAAACCCTACGCCAGTGTGAGTGTCGAAACCCTAAACCCTAAACCAGCTCCACTCCCAAGCCTCCTGGGGCCAAGGTCCACATGCGCTCCTCCGCGCACCCGGCCGTCACCAAGCGCAAGGCGGAGAAGATCCCGCCAGGCCGCGAGACCCTGGCCAAACCTGACTCGGTCGGCCCTGAAGGGGTGTTTCATATTTGCTCTCAGGGGCTTAAGAGGATAAAAATAGTACTCTTAGGAGCCATCAGAGTAAGTAGTCGTACAAGTAGGAACAACTAATAGCAATATGACTGGTAATAGTCATCGTGTTTATTTAGGAACCCTAAACCCTAAACCCTAAACCCTAAACCCTAAACCCTAAACCCTAAACCCTCTAGGAATATTTTTTCAAGGAGGGTTGTAAGGGCCATCCGAGCTGAAGATCGGCTGAACCTCACTGGGAGCCTTCGAGGATCCAGACCCCAACTCTCCGAAGCCCTGATCACCCAGGAGCAATTGGTTTAGGGTTTAGGGTTTAGGGTTTAGGGTTTAGGGTTTAGGGTTTAGGGTTTAGGGTTTAGGGTTTAGGGTTTAGGGAACCGAAATCATCCTTTCATAGTCCCCTCTGCAGAAGAATTCGCCCGAAATTCTTGTTAAAAGAGGATAGGCCCTCTACATGTGATGTTAAGAGCCCCAAGCCATCTAAAGCAATTCCGTGGCCTGCGATCATGGCGCCGATTTTGGACGTCATCATGGCCACGCTGGAGCCGTTGCAGCTTGTCCTTCAACGTCCTGTTAGGTCACCGGGTTCCTCGAGGGTTTAGGGTTTAGGGTTTAGGGGGTTTCGGATCTAGCGATGGAAGGCCGCAGCAATGCAATTGCTTGGTAAGGTTGCTTTAATATCAGGTGGCACCGCCGCTCGAGTGGGGGGGGGGGGGGCGCTAGTTAGGCGTAGTGGAGGTGGTGGTGGATGATATATGTACATATATATATATGTATATATGTATAGATGTATACCACAAGCTGGGGAGAGTCCCTCCAGTTGGTCAGGGTTCCTGGCTCTTGGCCGCTTTAGGGTTTAAGTTAGGTATTCATGGGCTGGAGGATGAGCGACATGCAATGGCATCGCCCTGTTCTTTCTCTTCAGCTGCTCAGGAAGCATCTTCAGTGGGCCGCCATTGGGTTTCCGAAGGACTGTCACGGAATTCTTCAGGCCCTATAGCCTTTGATGCGAGACCCGAGCACTTGGTGCTGTGTAGTTCCCAACGACAGGCCCCCGAATGTTCGAAGCCACTGTGAAGAACCATGTAGGCCCCTTCCCTTGGGTTTGGGGACTCTTTTTACAAACTAGAAGAGGGATGGCCCGAAAGCATCGATTTGCCGTGCGTTGACTCCATGCACTTGATTCTTTGTAATCGAACTGTATGCACTTGGAGAAATGTATGCCCTTACATGGTTGCATAGTCACTTGTACACTGCACTTGTATGCACTGGAACCGCATGGCATTCAAGTGTGTGGAGTTGAATGCCATGCACTTGTGGTCAACTCTGTAGACTTTTCATCGGCGTTGAAGACACCGCCGAGCTCCAGCGGCCGGTCGCGGCACGCACCTGCGCCGGTGCAAGGAAAGAAGCAGAAACCACACAAGCACAAAAACAGACAAAAGAGGTGGAGTCTAAGTAAGGGCCGTGCATGTTGGTCGCCATGGAATACCTGCGCGCAGAAAACAGCTTTACTTGCAAGTCGGTCGACAAAGGTGCCAATCGTCCCGGGCGGTCCTAGCTGCATTTTCACACACGCGTGCGTCGCACCGTCATATTAAACAGAGGTGGCCGCGCCGTCGTACTTTCGCAAGACAGCGTCCGTTTGGGGAACCCACATGTGTATTTGTCTGACATGTGGCACCCGCGCTCCGAATTGACACGCTGCCTTGCAGAGGCTAACCTTTTCATCGCAAGCGCGCCGTCGACTTGAAATCATGTGCGCCAGCTTCCCACTCCGGGTCGCGTCGCGCTTCCCTCTCCATTCCGGATTGACGTTACTACTTACTACAAAGCTACTCAGCAACTTCGAACTGAAAGGACAGCTCAACTGGCTTGGTCCAGCCCAGCATGGACCTTGGCCGCCCTCCCACCGACACGGGCATCTTGAAAGCCTTGACGTCCAGGACCACCCAGCCGAAAAACCGCATAGCACCCGAGGACCACCAATCGAATGGACTGTCGACCTCGATGAGCGTATCCTGCCTGTGAGAGTCGAAGTCCCGATCGTCCAAGAACTCGGTCGCCCCAGCAAAGGTGATGATGCCCAGGACCTGAGCCCGTGAAGGAGGAGGGCCAATCTCCGTGTCCACGATGGCACCCTTGGTGGACCCGGCGCCGACGGTCTCTATGAGGAAGGCGTCGAGAAGCTCCTCTCTGTTCCGCATGCGCGCACCAGCGCGCAGGTGCACACCCGCAGCCCCAGCAAGCGCCCGCAACTGCTTCACGGTCTGCTTCGCTAACTCCTCGCGCAGCCAAGCCACGTCATGAGCGGCAAAACCTTCGCGCAGACCGTGCAGCTCTTGCTGCGGCGCAGCGCCAGCTTCATCCTGATCACAGGTCGAGAAGAAAAGCCTGAAACTGCCCTAGTCAAGAGACACTGCGCACGCGCCGCTTGAACTTAGAGCCCAAAAATAAGCAAGCTCCAAGCCACAAACAACATGACCCCAACCTGCGTAGGAATGCAAACCATGTGACGCACAAACCTTAGAGAAGAAGGAAACCAAGAATACAAAGCACGAAAATGACGCTTTCCCCAAGACGCCTCCTGCTCGGAGATGCACTGCGAGAGAGCATCAAGAAGCTCCTCTCTGTTTCGCGTGCTCGCGCCAGAGCCCTGTCGTGTGCCCGCAGCGCCAGCAAGCTCACGCAGCTGCGTGACCGTCTTTTTCGCAAGCTCCTGGCGCAGCCAACCTGCACCTTTAGCACGGAAACCGCGCCGCAGCGTCTGCATAGCATCCCCGCCGGTGTACGACATGCCTGGACCTACAAAAACCCGCACGGTCCAAGCTGGCGCCAAGGTTTCACTCAATAGCGCCTCTCGGGCCAAAGCTAGCACGCACGCATGTAGAGCAACGCATCATGAGGTAACAGACATACAGCACACGAACGCTAGCACCGACACACAGTGCGGGATGCCTTCTCCCCTTCATTGACGTCGGCGCGCCCCAGGACGTCCAAATCGGACATCGCCCAAACATGTTACATTTGAGAGCAACCGCTGATCACTTCCCACAGAGAGACGAGTCTGAGCGCAGGACTGGTTGCCTTCCCTCCAAATCGAGATCACTTTTTTCCCGCTCCACTGCATGGCTGATATTTGTCATGGTTTTGGAAACAGCGAATTCGGGGACCATGGTTTTCGCGATGGTTTTGGAAACAGCTAATTCGAGTACCATGGTTTTCGCGATGGTTTTGGACACAGCGAATTCGGGGACCATGGTGTTTGCGATGGTTTTGGAAACAGCAACTTCGGGAACCATGGTTTTCGCAATGGTTTTGGAAGCGAATTCGAACACACCGTCCCCAAGTTGTTTGCGAGGATTTCGAAGCTCCACAATTCCGCGCCCACGCTATTTGCGAGGATTTCGAAGCCCCACAGGATTTCGAAGCCCCAGAATTCCGCGCCCACGTTATTTGCCAGGATTTCGAAGCCCCACAGTTCCGCGCCCACGTTATTTGCGAGGGTTTCGAAGCCCCACAGTTCCGCGCCCACGTTATTTGCGAGGGTTTCGAAGCCCCAGAATTCCGCGCCCGCGTTATTTGCTAGGTTTTCAAGGCCCAAGAATTCCGCGCCCATGTTATTTGCGGTGTTTTCATGCGCCCAGATGTCCGTTACCATGCTCTTTGTGGTGTTTTCATGCGCCCAGATGTCCGTTACCATGCTATTTGGTTTTGGAAACAGCAACTTCGGGGACCATGGTTTTCGCAATGGTTTTGGAAGCGAATTCGAACACACCGTCCCCAAGTTGTTTGCGAGGAGTTCGGAGCTCCACAATTCCGCGCCCGCGTTATTTGCGAGGATTTCGAAGCCCCACAGTTCCGCGCCCACGTTATTTGCGAGGGTTTCGAAGCCCCAGAATTCCGCGCCCGCGTCATTTGCGAGGATTTCGAAGGCCCACAGTTCCGCGCCCACGTTATTTGCGAGGGTTTCGAAGCCCCAGAATTCCGCGCCCACGTTATTTGCTAGGTTTTCAAAGCCCCAGAATTCCGCGCCCACGTTATTTGCTAGGTTTTCAAAGCCCCAGAATTCCGCGCCCATGTTATTTGCGGTGTTTTCACGCGCCCAGATGTCCGTTACCATGCTCTTTGCGGTGTTTTCATGCGCCCAGATGTCCGTTACCATGCTATTTGCGGTGTTTTCAGACGCCCAGGGTGTCCGCGGCGTACTACGTCTGGAGCAAGCTCCGCGTGTCCGTGGCGTACTACATTTGTACTACAAAAGTCGACTTTCCAGCCACGGAAGCTCCGGGTGTCCGCGGCGTACTACGTTTGTACTACAAAAGTCGACTTTCCAGCCACGGAAGCTCCGGGCGTCCCCGGCGTACTACATTTGTACTACAAAAGTCGACTTTCCAGCCACAGAAGCTCCGGGCGTCCCCGGCGTACTACATTTGTACTACAAAAGTCGACTTTCCTGCCACGGAAGCTCCGGGTGTCCGGGGCGTACTACGTCTGTACTACAAAAGTCGACTTTGCAGCCACAGAAGCTCCGGGTGTCCGTGGCGTACTACATCTGTACTACAAAAGTCGACTTTCCAGCCACGGAAGCTCCGGGGGCGTCCGTGGCGTACTACATTTGTACTACAAAACTCGATTTTCCAGCCACGGAAGTCCCCGGCGTACTACGTCTGTACTACGCAAGTCGAAAAAAAACGCAAAAACACTACGGTTTTAGCACCGCGACCACGCGAAAACCCGCAGAGGGGTTACGTTTGTATGTCAAAAAACGCAAAAACACGACGGTTTTGGCACCGCGCCAACGCCCAAACCCGCAGAGGGGTTACGTTTGTATGTCAAAAAACGCAAAAACACGACGGTTTTGGCACCGCGCCAACGCCCAAACCCGCAGAGGGGTTACGTTTGTTTGTCAAAAAAGGCAAAAACACGATGGTTTTGGCACCGCGCCAACGCCGAAACCCGCAGAGGGTTGACGCGCGCACGAAAAAAATGCAAAAAACGACGGTTTTAGCACCGCGACCCAGCGATTACCCCATCATCATCTCCAGCGGGCCGCAACCATACGCGGGTTGTGCAGCCAAAAGATAAGGAAATCACACCTCAGCCGGGACAAGGCTGAGCGAAGAATGTCCGTGCCTGGCACCATGCTAAATGGGCACCGCATCGAGGCCGTGTGCATCGAATGCGCCCATCATGGGCCTGAGGCTCTGCAATCAAATGCAAGTGGTTTGCATCTGCAGTTTCATTATGTTGGCGCACTCGTCGCTTGCGCCAATTTAACGTACCTTGAGCAACAGCAACCTCTTGATGAGTTTCGCCACTAGCACCTCCACAGTGGCGCTGCTGCCACTTGCGCTTCCAGCCGTTGAAGTCAGTACGCTGGTGACACTTCACGCATACAAGCTCAGCATCACCATTGCCTTCAGCACCGTAGAAAGGGGCAAGGCGATGCCATCCCTTGCCGTCTGCATCACGGTTGTGCAACAGCCGCTTCTGTTCTCGTGACACTTGCAGCTTTCGCAAACCCGGGACATAGTATGGTTGGGAAGCATCCCAAGGAATCTGTTCCCTCACCTCCTGGACATTGGAAGGCTGACGCAACACCTCAGGGCGATTGCTCTGAACATCAGCCGCCCGCGTTTTGACTTTGAGTCTGTAGCGAGGTCGGGCAAGCTCAAGAGCGACATGTGGGTTCCAAAGTGCATCCCCTAACTGCCCAAACTTTGGTATGAAAGCTAGTTTACAGTTGGTCTGCAAATTTTCCAAAGCAGCCTGGTACAAGATCCGATTGACGACGTCCGGTCGCAAAAACAAGGGACGCATCGGAAAACCCCCCGCATTAGGCAAGCCAAGCGGAGCCAAGCTACGTGCAAGGTTGTTAGGAAACGGATCGACCGGAGCAAGCGCATCTTGACAGATGACCGACACACGCCGAGCAGCGGAAGCAAAGAAGATCGCTCTCTTCCCAGC